GAAAAAAAAAAAAAAAGTTTTTGTGATTTGGGAACAGCCCACAGCTTGTGCTCACCCACCCTCCCTGGCTCCAGCTGCACCATCCCAGCAGCCAGAGCTGCCCAAGAGCCCAAATCACACTCATCTCCCAAAAGGGAAAGGTGGATGGGGACATTCCTGTCCCATGGTGGATTCCCTTCTCAGTGCCGGAGCCATGGGCTGTGGAAGGAGTGTCCCTGCCTGTATAAATCAGCAAGGACAGGGCAGTGGGATGAGCCTTTCCTCTGCCTTCCACTGAAAACATCAGGCTGATTCATGGGGAAAGCACCAATGAGCCTACAAGGAAGAGCAGATTAAAAATTTGAGGAAAAAAGGGGAAAAAGGCCATCAGCTCTCAGCTCATCCTCTGTCGGGACCCTCCCCTGTTCACCATAAGTGGCACAAGAGAGGATTATCACTCCTTTATTCCCCTCTTCCAGTTACAGCTGGATCCTGTGCCTTGCCACATCCATSTCCCAAATTGTCCAGACCTGACTCACAAAGTTTTATTTATGACCAGAAGGTGCGTCCATGGCAGATTCTACACCAGTAACAGTATTTGAGTTTTGGTTTTATTATAGTTTGAACAGCAAGATATATAAGGTCTTAATAATTTTTTGTTGTCCAAGAGCTTTTTCTCTTCAAGAATCTCATTTTTATCCTAGGGCTGTGCTGGTATTGGCACTGAAGGCAGGCAGGAGCTTTCCCATTGCTGTGGTCACTGGATCAATATAAAACAGAGACAACCCTGGGCCCAGGCAGCCTCCTCAACCTCCCTGACAGCCCCAAGACTCTGGRAATAATTCTTCTTGGTTTTTTCTACACAAATTTTCTATTTATTCCACAAGTCCTTGCCCTTTCTTAAAAAGGATTATTTTTGGATGTGCCTYTTTTTTAAGAATTTTAATCCCATTAACTAACAATGGGAAAAATTCATGCTTGTGATGCAGATTTAGGTAAACCTCWTTTTTTTTTTCTTTCTGAAACCCTTAGAAGACTACTTTTAACCATATTGAAGCAGTAAAGCTACAGTTTAATACACACAGAGCCATATACTGTTATCTGCAGTATTTTCCTTTCCTTWTTCCTAGAACTTCAGCTTTTAACTCCAAATTCCTGTCTAACACAGAGCACACAACTTCAGTAAAGGCCAATAAATTTCTCAGTGTGAAAATGCTAAATATGTTACCTCTTTTCTAGTGGGAATAAGCCCAGTCAGTGGTCACATATTTTCCCTGTAACTTCAGCAATGGATGAGTCACAACCCAGAATTTATTCATAGAATTTCAGCTCTTCGGTTTTTCCACCGCTTTTATGGGAGGCTTTGCAGACTTTCCCACAGGCATTCGTTATACCCCAGGACTGGTGGAATAGTCTGCAAATAATGGCTCATTCAGAGCCACCCTTAATTTCATCTGAGCACCTTATGTGTCCATCTGGAAGCTGATCCCTCCTAGCACAAAGTCTGTGTGGTTTCAAGCCAAGTTTAGAAGTCAAGATTCTGGTGCAGACCTTTGTGATGTCGCACTGTAGGATTTTTGATGGACAGARCTAACCCAGTAAAAGAAATAATCATTTTGCCATCACTTTTCTTGGTCCAACTCTCCCTAAAATCCGAGTTTCCTTRGTATGAGCTGGATCTTTTTCAGAGGTAGCAACCACCACCATGTTCTCTGGAAGATTGTTTCCCTGCAAAGGGGTTTTTTGAGTAGCTCCTCTGAGTTCCCCTCCTCCCTGGGTCCCTGCCACYTTGTTGTTAATCCAGGACACAAAAATCTGCCAAGCAGACATCGTTCTGCACCCTGGGTCCCGAGATCCATCAGCTGACAGGGTGTTCCATAGCAGCTACCCCAAAATTTTAATTATATTGGCCAGAACACGCAGTCTTCACCAAAAAAAAAAAGTCCTCTCCATGATAATGAAGTGTTCTGTTGATTTTGTTTCAACCCTGAAGCACATATTTCCATAAGCAGGATCCTTCCCCTCAGAACTTAGCCAAGTGGCTGTAGTTTTTTCTTTTTACTACARATTTTCATTGTTTTAAATTTCTAGGGGACTGTGCATCAATTCATTTATYACATACAATAACTAATTAGAGCCATCTCCTCCAGATGAGTTTGTGACATTAACAGCTCTGCTGTGGTTTATGCTGTTTGATGKATGCTGTGTTGTAGAGACAAAATCTTCTCTTCCATCACAAGTTTGGGTTCCTTTGTCAGAATCTGCAGGGGTTTGTCTACAAAATCAGCTCCACTCCTCTCCTTCATGTCAGGTTTGAGCACTGCCACATCCCATGCTGAGCCCCATCTTCTCCTGGCTGCCCCTCACCAGTCACTGCAGGAAAACACAGTCCAGAAGACAGAAAAAATCTCATCCACCTCCTCCTGACCTGGGATGTTTTCTGTTACTAAGAGGATTTGGATGAACATCTGCCATCCAGGGATTTTCTCAAAAAAAAAAAAAATTAGTCTGGCAGATCATTTTTCCTTCCTCATCAGGGTCTGGCAGTGCTGGCAGTAACAGGGCTCACTGTCAGATGGGTGGCTGTGATGCACAGTGAGTAAAGGCAGGGCTCATCATCACTTCCTTCCTGCTCCATTAAAAGTGGCTCAGGATCGGGGTAAAAGCATTAARCCATCCAGCACTTTGCCAAGATTCTTCCTCCAGAAAGGTTTTGGACTGAAGCTGTTTTTACTTTGGCTCACCCTYGTAGTTTGCGCTTCAGTGAACAAACTGGAGGTCAAAATTAATAGAAATACAAACCCCAGACTCTGAGATGTGTCTGAATCTTTCAGCACCTGAAAMCTTTACACACCTTCAGATCAGGATAGCTCAGGAAAGGAGGGAGGGGAGGGAGGGTAAGGATTGGCTCCATGGAGCCACATGGTCATGGTGGAGGTACAAATGGCAAAATTCTTCTCCACAGTCCTGGTACAAAGGCTTTTAGTAGGCAAGAACAGATTTTTTTTTTGCCTTTGGCACACAAATTCTGCTCATCAGACATTGTGTGGATCAAAAAGAAAACATTGTACACAGAGAGGTGACCTCACAGTGGAATAGGGAGATTCAAGAAACCCAAACTTTTCCACATCTGATGAAGTGTCCTTCAAATGCTGCAATGGATCTCTGCTGCATAGCTTTTAATTTAGTAATGCATTTTAAATCAAGTGCAGGCATTTGCAATCAAAAGGAAGACAGGATCAGCTGCCAGATAACTCTGCATTAGCCCTTAGCTGGCYGTGCTGGATGGCACAGAGCTGCCTTCAGACTGATTGTTTTGTTTAAACATTAATGAATTACAAAAACATTCATCGCCACTGTGTTTTATAAGAGATTTGTTTGACAGCACAGGACCTGGGGAAGGTGTTGGCTCTCAAGAGAAACCAAGCTTTGTTCAGGGTGAGGAGTGAACCTCCAAARTGTCAACCATGCCTGAAAAGTTTTTCTTTTAGTTACACTTCTTCAGTCAGTGAATAGGAATGTTTCCTATTAAGGCATTTCCTTGCTCAGCATCCATTGCCTTCACTCGAGGGATGCAGGGAGCACTGCTGTTTCCCTTCCACCCCTGGGTCTTGAACCTGAYATGGCCCCAGACTCCAAACATCCTCAACCATCTTTTATTTTTCCCCTTCAACAACTCCCTGYACTGCAAGTTCTGCTTCCCAGCAAGCAGATGTTCTCCATCCTGAAATAGCTCAGCTCCTCTGGATCCCATCCAAGCCCCATCAGGATCCCCACAGCAGGCACAGACCACAATTCTGTCAGTGGGGTTTGATGTGATGCAGGAGGGGTTCTTGGGAGCAGCCTCTCGCACCTCTGGGCTCCCCAGGAAACTCAGAAATTGCCACCAGTTTCTTCTGAGCTACATCTGGAAAGTAGATAAAATAAACGAAAGAAAACATTTGGGAACTGTTGCTCATTATTAATTTGTGCTATTTACAGKGGTACCTGCACAAAGGAAAAGGCAATAAAATCTGTGTCTTTCCTGCAGCAGTGGCAGTAGAAGAGCCAAAGATAAYTGCCACATTGTCCAGGAGWGCAGCAAGCACAAAGTGAGCAGGGYWCAGGGAGACTGTTTGGAGAGAAAACCCATCCTCTCCTATCCAGCCTGCCACTAAATGAGTTATTGAGTCTGTCTTTTGAGGATCCCACAGCAGAAGATCTAGTGAAGTCACATTAAAGGAAGAATCCATTTTCCTTAACAATATCAGAGAGATAACTACAGAGCAAACTGTCTGGACAAGCCTTAGGTTGTCCCTTCTGAAATTTTCAGATCAAGACTGCACTCTTGAGTAAGCTGTCCTTTAGTTAGACACCAGATCTTGGCTCAGCAAGGAAGGAAGCAGCTGAGCTGTCCGAGGTGAGTCTGGGTAACAGACTGATCCTTTCAGATGCAGCTGGAAAAGGAAAAGCAGAGARTGAAAGAGATGGAGCACTGCAAAGAGATTTAGCCACGCTTTACTGGTCTGTCTGCTCTCACGGCTTCCCGAGCAAAAACAGCAGCCTCTCCCTGCACACCCTCCACCCTGCTGCACTCAGGGGGGTTAGAGGAGTTAAGACATCAGAATTGTGTTGTAYTGTTGGTGGCACACAGCTGGGACACGTGCATCCTAAGCTGCTTATGCCTGGCCATTGCTTACGTGCGGGGGATACGCGAGCAGCGAGGCCGGGAAGGAAAGATGTGGGTCTGGTCAAATCAGGGTAGGTCCATATTGCCCGAATTGCTGCAAACTCACAGGCACGAGATGGGAAAATTACCATCCTGCCAAKTGGACAGAGTTTTTGACATCTGAGATTTGGGTTGGGTAGGGATATCTCTGCTTTATTGCACAGTGTGCAGGGATGACATCAGCTGCCATACGGGCACATCAAAACCTGTTCCTACATTACTATTTCCACCCTGTTAACAATCTGACTGTCTCTCTCACTTCCAGGCTTGATAGTCTACTTGGGAATGATGGTGGGGGCTGTCCTGCTGGGCGGCCTGGCTGACAAACTGGGAAGAAAGCAATGCCTCATCATATCACTCGCAATCAACGCTGCCTTCGCGTTCCTCTCCTCCTTCGTCCAGGGATACGGATTCTTCCTCTTCTGCCGCCTTATCTCAGGCCTCGGGTGGGTACCTGGTGACTCTGTCCTGGAGCAGAGAGTTTGGGTGTGTGGGGTGAGGAGCATCCCTGATACCCAGCCAGGATTGCATTGCTGTTCAGGACGTGTGGCTGTGTCACCTCACTCTTGACCCTTAGAGCTGCAATGATGGGAAAGTTTGGTCGTTGATTTTCTTCTGGTACTGCCCAAATGGTGCAGAAAGGTGGGGGAGGCTGAAAAATTCAGCCTTCAGTGAGACCCTCAGCTGTTCCCATTGCCTGCCTGTGATTTGCCTCCCTAAAATGAATGATCACARAATCACAACAGGAGGTGTCTGGGTGAAGAGCAGGGCATTGCACTGGCTTTGTACAAACTGTACAGGAAATTCAGCTTTTAGAGCATGAGAAGAATCTTGTTCATCTTTGATGTCTAAGACCAATTCAGCAAATGAGGGGTTTGTATTTTTCCTCCAAGTTTCACTTGTGAGCAGCCCATCTGTGAGTGTGACCTTCCCTCATTTTAAATTCCTAACCACAAAGACATTGAGGAAGACTCTCATTTTTTTCCCAYGTGCTGTGTTTTTCTCCTCAGTATCGGGGGCACCCTCCCCATCGTGTTTGCCTATTTCTCTGAATTCCTGTCTCGTGAGAAGAGAGGGGAACACCTGAGCTGGCTTTGCATGTTCTGGATGATTGGTGGCATTTATGCTTCAGCAATGGCTTGGAGCATCATCCCACATTACGGTAATTTGTGCTTTTTGACTTTCCACACCACCACACCAGCACACAATCCCAAACCCTGCACAGGTAGAGACAGCTCTTACACATCCCAGCATAAACACCACTGAAAATTATGGATAATTGAAAATTATGGGTAACTGAAGTGCTCACAGAAAGTCTCATAAATTGCCTGCATGACTGATTGGTAGTAAATAGGGCTGATGAGGGCTGCTTTCCATCCAAAGCCTCAGATACATCCCTTGAATTGCACTGCTGGAGCCTGAGCTCTTAATCTAAATGTCATCTCATTCGGAGAGGAAATGGACYGAGATTAAATTGCAAAAATTGATCCAGTTATCAAAAATAAGGAACTTTAATCAGGGAATTACTGGATGCTATGAATGATAGCAGCAAGGACAGCACATGTGCTTTCCTTTAGCCAAGTGTCCACACTGCCAGGGCTGTGTCCCTGGGGACACAACTGCCCAGAATGTGATGGGCTGAAGTGACTTCTGACTTCACYTAAATGGGTGCTGGAGAGATGGAATGGGTTCCCTGCCCTCAGCTGGAAGTGGGAATGAAAAAGTAGATGGCTGTAACATGCTCTGAGGAGAAAAATTCTGCATTCAGTGTATATAACTTAGGAGAACACCGGAAGCAAATATCTACTGGAAAAGATTAATTCCCCCAGTATTCAGCAACACCAGCTGATCCTGTCTGAGGAAAGTGGACAGTTCACAAAACCCAGGAAGAAAAKCACTAATATTTACCTATTATCAATCCATTTTTAGCACATTTAAAGCACATTCAGTATAAAGAAATGTTAATGCTTTTGATTGACATGACAGAGACTGTTGGAAGAAATAGGCAAACTTACTGCAGTGGTGTCACTGCAGAAATAATTCTATTATCTGCAACAACATTTGCTTTAAAAAGCCCTTAGCTATTTACATTACAATTATTTTTCAGATGACTTTTTGATGTTGTGTTTTTGTAGCTTCTCTTTTTGATTTCCAATGTTCCACCTACTATTTTGGAACTTTGTGAAGTCATTAGAACACCATGACTGGCTCAGGTGAGACTTTTGCAAAACCCATCGCTTGATGATTTCCTTATTATGTGAATAAAAATGTTTAGAGAAAGAAAAAGGAATTAAACATTCCTTACGAGATTTGAGGCTAGGCAGAGTAAATGAAGCAATRTAAGAATGAGGGTGTCCTTTCCAGKTCTTAGCAGATTTGGTCAAACACCAGGAAAAAAGGAGGAGAGGGAGTACCTCAAATGCAGGATTAGGATTTTGATATGTCTAAGTCTGAACCCCAGCTCAGGTTTTGCAGGTCTGGAAAAAAAATAAACTTGCTTTTCTAGCTCACTTCCATGAGATGTGAAGTGCATAAGTGATGTAGGAGATGGAAAGAAGGCACAGCCGTCTCTGCTGTGCCTCTCAGATCAGAGATTTAACCTTCGTAAACTTCCAAAAACATCACTGGAAAGTAATCAATGATGGCCCCTATTCCTGTACCATTTCCCAGCCTTACTTGCCTGCAGCTGCACAGAGCTGCTCCTGTCACTGGGTGATTTCTAAACTCCAAGATAAAAGGAGGTTTTTAAAAGGCAGAGCCTGAGCATGTTCCAGTKTCTGTAACGAACATGAACTCACTCTCTGCTCTCCACCAAGCACACTGTGGAGCCTCCAAGAGCCATCGGCACCAAGAATAGCAAACTTTCAACCTCTCCTCGTGTCACACAGAGCTGCAAAGTTCAGGGCTGCTTTGGCAGAGAAGGACTCAGAATGCCTGGTCAGTGTTTTCACTTGTTGGCTCTTGCTGTTTCCAGGCTGGGGGTTCAGTATGGGAACCAAGTACCACTTCCACAGCTGGAGGGTCTTTGTGCTCGTGTGCTCTCTGCCCTGTATCGCCTCCCTGGTGGCGCTGAAATTCATGCCTGAAAGCCCACGGTTTTTGCTGGAGGTAAGGTGATTCATCTCCAACGTCTCAGTCTGATTTCAGCAGAGGATAGCAGGTCCCTCGTGTGTCACTGTCTKTCTTTGTCCCATCAAACTCACAGAGCACAGGGCTCAGAGGCAAAGCCACTCCTATGTGTCTAGAGCAGCTCCACAGACTGCTGAAATCCCAAAGATTACAGACTGTGGGGTCAGCCACTGGTGATGAGTGTGTCACTGCCAGAAGGGGTACAGAGGGAAGGTAGAGAGAGATGGGAATTTTGTAAGTCTGACAAAGGCACTTTGAAAACATCTCACAGAGTTTGGGCATGGAACTACTAAATCCTGGTGGGAAAGCAAAGGACAAAGTACATTTTACTGAGTAAAATACTAAAACCTCAGAAATTTTAAGCAAGTATTCTGTATTTCCACTTCACAGATGGGGAATGTAGCAATACCTAGTTCAAGTTAAGCTGCAAGCCTTTAGCAGAGTTGGGATGAGAGTTCAGGTCTCATCATCCATCTCCTCTTCTTTCATCTGTTTTTAAAGCTCTAYTCCTGACCCCTTTTCTGCCTCAGGCAGTTTTAGGACAGCTCCCTTCTCCAGCACAGAGATGGAGATTCACTCTGTGAATAGCAACCATGCTTTCAGCTCTTCAGGTTTCCTGCAGYCTGGGCTGGCTGTGTGCTTCTCCTCTATGCTGGGCCTCTAGAATGGGTTTCTCTCTGGGCTTTGATAAATTACAGAGCTGGGAGCTCGAACACTTCACTCCTTTCCTTTGGTGTTTCAGATTGGWAAACACGACGAAGCCTGGATGATCCTGAAGCAAGTCCAYGACACCAACATGMGRGCCAAGGGCGAGCCAGAGAGGGTGTTCACGGTGAGTTGGACAAAATTGGACAAAGCCAGCAGCTAAGAAATGCTGGACACACCTTCCTTAGTGTAGCACAGCACCACTTTACTCCTCCTGGGGACTCTTTCCATGTGATCTCTCCCCCAGCAATCAGAAAAAGGACTGTGAGAAACATTTTGTGTATTTAAACTTAGATGCCAGCCTGTTTTTTCAAGAATTAGTCAAGTTTGTGAACTGCAGTGAGTAATCTTCATTCCTGGTGCTACTCTACATCCTTTAGAGCAGTGATTTTTCAATTACACACTTGCTTAATTGGTTTGCTCTAAGAGACTAGAACAAAATCAGAGGGGTATTAGCCATGTGGGAGACCTGAGTCACTCCTTTCTCCATTCTGGCTTCTAATCAAAGTCTGATTAAACTTCAGGTATTTTCTAATGAGCTTTCCAAACTCCACCTGCCTCATAGCCAGKCTTTAATCTCTCCAAGGGAAAGTGGGATGAGTGGCTCTTAATCATTGGTCTGCTTCTTGTTGTGAAAAAGGTCACACACAGTGGAGTTGTTAATAGTAAAATCAGAGGAAAGTTTTATGCTGGGGTTAGCTGCAAATTACTATAATTCAGTTGCAAAACCCTGGTGAGCCAGCCAGGGAAGAATCCTTGATTTATGCTTTTAAAGAGCACACRTATTTTTAAAGGATGGGGGGAAAAAAGGAGATACACTTGTGTGTGAAATGTATTTTTGATCAAGAAGGAGAGCAAGGCCCTATGTTCAGGAAACCGTGCCACTCAGAAGTGATCCTTCAAGGAAATTAAAGTCTCATATCTGAGCATGACAATTGTGGGCAGGTTCATGTAAGAACTTAATGAGCRTGTTTTATTTTTAGGCTTTGAGTAAAGCAAACCCTGATAGCAAAGGTGACAGAGATGTTCTGTTCAACTCCATCGCTGGCTTTGCTGTGACGCTGAGCTGGGGAACGAAGCTCAAATAGAAATATATATGTTTATATATATTTATAGATATCACAAAGTAGGGCTCTGTGAGAGTCTAAACTGAACAAGGGAATGAAGGAGCAGCTGCCMAGGGTCCCTCAGTGCTCTTTACTCCATCCAGAGCCGAGGATGCAGGAGCCGGGCTCGGTGCGCATCTCCCGGCTGAGCTGAGATGCACCGACACCCGGAGGGGGATCAGAGCTCCTGCTGTGCCACAAACTGACAGGTTTTGTGTTTTTCTGAYGGGCCAGGAGTTGTCAGTTTGTGGTGAGTCAGCTGGTACCGGGACAGCTCCCAGATCTGACATTTAAGCGGTGCCAGGAGGAGGAAGGCGGAGATTCYGCAGCGGAGCCGAGGCGCTCGTTCACACTCACAAATTTATTCAGCAAATTGTCGCCTCCTCCGAGTGTTTACAAACAGTCCTGTTTTCCTTGACTGCGTCCTTTAATTAAAATTACTAGGCAAATATTTGCTGGGACCTATTTGTAAGCTTTCCTGTGCGGCCCAGTTCAGGTAATCAGCAATGAAAATTCAGACTGTGGGTTTTTTTTGTGAAGCGAAATGATTGCATAGTGTGGGCTCACTTGATGGCAGGATGCATTTTCAGCTGCAAAGATTCCCATCCACRCATTCATTTGTCATAAAAATTCTGCCAGTGGTATTTAAGAAAAAGTGGAATGAGAAATATTCTTGCTGGTTGTCTTAGAAGAAAGAGATCCTGAGGACACAGTCTGGATACAAGTGGCTGATGTTGGAGATAATTTTTACTATAATTGCTTAGTCCTAATTTGTAGTGGGAATCTAAAAATAGAGAAATAAGGTAGTATGCAGAAACATTAGCCAATAAATGAAAAATTGAGGTGGACAGGATGCACTCAAAGTATTTCATGGAAGAAGAGAGACAGAGAGGATGAAGGGATGGATGAAAAGAGGGAAGGCAGGCTTATTTCTGTTAATAGTCTCTTGCTGTAATTAAATCAATTAGYTCAATTGCTAATGCTAGCTTTCAAGGAAAAAATAATCAGGGTTATTAGGAGAAAATATTGCCCAGAAGACAGTGAAATTTAAATCCACCCAAGATCAATCCTAGAAACCTCAGTCCAATATTTTTTTCTCTCTTTTTTTCTTCCTCTAGGTTTCCTATATCAAAACTCCCAAGCAAGTAGATGAATTTATTGAAATCCAGAGCTCAACAGGGACCTGGTACCAGCGGTGGCTGGTCAGAATCACGACTGTTTTAAAACAGGTAAAGAGAAGAAAAAACTTCACATGGGGGCTTTTGAGCTTTGGGCTCCAGTGCCTCATTTCTTCAGATCATTGTACTTAGAAATTCTGATTTTCACCTCAGAAAATCTGTTGGTTTTTGCAAAGGGCTGTAATGTGGCTGCATTTTCTTTGCAGATGTGTGCACCTTCAAGTTGCCATGTCCCCAAAATGTCCCCATGAGCATCACTGTCATGAGCAGAACAGAGCTCCCAGGGCCAGCCACAGCCCCAAGTGCTTGGCTCTCCTCCTGAGCAGATAAATATTGATTCTCTCTCCCTCAGCCCAAGTGAAATTACCACCTGCAGTGGAGGCAGAAAGCRTTTGCTCTTTGTTCCTGCTGAGACTGAGTTTTTAACGCTGGTGTATTGTCTCCTTGGCTAATTTAACTTTTCACACCTGCTATGCTGCTCGCCTGATTCTCACGTGGGCATTTCTGGAAAACCTCATTAGAATTTCTAGTCCTTAAGGATAAGCTGAAAGTAAAGGAAAGTCCTTCTGAACTAATAGCAGTGCAGTTGCTTGCTATTACTACACTTATGTGGTGAGTTAAGAGCTTGAGGAGTTACATCCCCTCGTGTTCTTGGCAGTATTTTCTGCAATGAGTCAAGAACAGATCTTATCCTGCCTCCTGCTTGGCTTCATCCCTACCTGATTTCATCTTATACCTCCTAAAGTGCCAGCTGTGCTTGGGCTTTTGCTCTTCAGAGAGATTTGGAGCTCGGTTTGAAGGCACCCCTGATACCGTTCGTATATTTGAAAAGATAAAGTTGTCAGAGGGTTTCAGAGCAATCTCATATCCACATTTACTGATACAACCTGAGAGAGACTCTTCATCATCACCAGCCCTGGTCATGCCCTCCAGCTCATTGCAGAGGGCTCAGATCAAGACCCTGGCACAGAGCTGAGTGCGTGATTTTTCRTGAGCCATTTACTCAATAAATGTAATTTTGAACAAACACTGAGTATAAACCACACATTTGACCTTCCCCTAATGAAGCCCTTTTGCTGGCATTAGGTTTRTGATGCACTCAGAAATTAAGCTGTCGAGTGTCTGCCTGGCTGTCCTGGCAGCTAATTTCTTCTTGTGGATTTGTAGGTCTGGGACAACGTGCTATATTGTTTAACAGCCCAGTACAGGATGAACACACTGATGCTGGCTGTGGTTTGGTTTACAATGGCCTTAAGGTAAGGAAGGTACTTCTTTAAATTTTTCAAGAAACTGAAGGGCTGTGTAGAGTCTGAGTAGCGATTTACACATGTAAATAAACKATTACAAAATTAATCTTGGTCTTATTTTAAAGAGTTTTTGTGAACTAAGCCTTGCTCTCCTACAMACATTGATCCATCTGATTGCTTCAAATGAGGTACGAGGTGCTTTCAGCAAATCAGGACTCAAGAATTTGTCAGTAGCAGAGCAATATATTGACTTTCTCACTTTAAATCTTTCATTTGATCTTGTCCACCCACACAGAAAAAGACACAGCCCTACCAGAGTCTCACTAATTGTTTAATTTTCACTTAAACAGCACACTTGCAGACATCTACCAAATTTCTTTCTGCTCTGCTTGTCTCTTGGGGTTAGCACATTTCTTTATTCTTCAGCCAAGGGGAACTGAAATGAATTATCCTTCTTCAAGGGCAGGGGAATGGACCAATGKGTTTCTGGGATCAGCAGGGTGCTTAGAGTGGAGAAACACTTTGCTCAGTCCTCTGTCCGAAATGAACTCGAATTCTTGTCAGACACGCATTCACATTTGGAGTTTAACAAGTTTACAGGTTGGGAATTATCTCATTAGAAGAATCTCGTATCCCTGATGTGTSTCCCATCCTGCTCCAGTTACTATGGCCTTATTGTCTGGTTCCCTGACATGATCCGCTATTTCCAAGACGAAGCGTATGACTCCCGAGTGAAGATCTTTGACGAGGAAGAAGTGTCCCATTTCACCTTTAATTTCACCCTGGAAAACCAGATCCATAGAAATGGGGAATACAGGAATGACAAGTAAGTGAACAGAACTTGCTTTGATGTATTCAAACCGAAATAAATTCCTAGAAAGCTCTTTCTTTCTTTTCCATTTTCCATCAGCTTGAACCTCTCTGTTGTTCTTTTGGGCACTCAATCTCTCAAATCCCAAATGCAGTTTTTGACAAACAAAATATCTTTTCAATCCTGTTTTTCCACATACTCWGCCTCGGTCCCTGACTTCTGCAGAACCCAGAGGATGCCTGTGGGGAATTCTGCTTCCAGAATTCCACCAACACCACCCGTGTTGGGGTCTGGGGTGCCCACCTGGCTGTGCTGGGCAATTCTGGATGCTGAGGATGCTGAGGTGACTTCTCTTTCCTTAGCCCACACTGACATCTACTGGGCTTAGGCAGCAGAAATTATAACTGGCACTGAAATTGTTCTGCTGCTGTATTTCCAAAATARAAAGCTGTTTCTCCTGAAGTCCTGGATATGAATTATCCCGGTCTCCACCCTGCAGGCAGTTAGTGCAAACGGTGCCATGGCCATTCCAGGGTGCTGCTCCCACTGCAGTCACTGTCTCCCCACAGATGAATTTGTCACCTTCTCTTTCAGTGTTTTGAAGGCAGTGAAGTTGCTCCAGCAGAGCATCATTGCTGTGGTTTCTTTTTTACTCCTATTTGGGCTGGATTTGGTGTTTTTTCTTTCTGCATCCAGCCTGGACACAAATCACTCCATGTTCCACAGCAATCTAATCTGAGTCGTTCCATTACTACATTTCAGAATCCCAATAAAAAAGGTGGAAAAACATCCCCATGTAATTTCTGTGGAGATCTCATTGCCCCAGACCTATCAGGATGTTGCTCCAGCTGCCTTGCACCATGTGAGGAGGTCCCACTGGATGTTCAATGTCACACAAAACACCCACTGTTTTAATCTTCACAGCTGAAACCACATCTCACTGCCCAGCCCTGTTCCCCCAATCCCCTCAGAAATCATTTGCTTCTGTTTCCTCATTRTTTATTTGGTAGACATTGATTGGGRACCCCAAGATGTGTTCTCATGTCCTCCCAGAGACCTTCTCTGCAGTAGGGAGCTGTGCTTGATGGTGCAAACTTAGGCTCAAAATTCATGGTGCCCAAAAGAAAAYGGTGAGAAGTAGATATTGGTCAAATTTAGGGATTAGAGGCATAGTTTTTAATGCCTGGAGACACTTTTTTTTATGCTGAACTTTCACTAATTTCTTTGAGAATTAAGGAYCTTCAGCACCTTGCTGGATGAAGATGTAAAACTGGGATGTAAAACACTGTTCTCCTGGCTTGGCCCTCTCCACCTCAAATATTTAAAACCTGATCAAGCTTAATTCCAATAATGCCCAGACCTCATCTCAGATAATTTGCAGCAGTTTTTCCCTCCAGCCCTCATCTCTGTGCAAAAACTCCACGGATCACCAGGCCATTGCTATCTGACTATTTTAAATTTGGGTGCTAAAAAAGCAAACTGCAGGGGGAAAAGAAAGGTATTTTACGGCCTTTGGGAATAAAAACATCACAGGCAAAAACATCACTGAGCAAATGCAGAACAGCTTCAGTTTTGCTGTAACCCCGAGACCCTCTATATGGAGCAAAACACTTGAATAGTCTTCYTGTGGTATTTTTTGCATTAATAATTTCTGTTAGTGGGCTCAGCCAAGAAGCCCTGCAGTGCTCATTTAAAGGTGCAAACAGCCATCACGTTACACTGTGCTGTAAGTGCTCAATTCAATTAAGCTGCAGAGTTTATGTCAGAAGGGTTTTTTTCATCTGGTGACAGTCATGGCCTCTTTAACTGGAGCAATAATGCTTGTTCTTAATAGCTCTTACATCTTCCAAACATGCCCGTGCATTACCCAATACATCTTCTCGGTGTTCCTGTGAAATCTCACAGGTAAATCAATATTGTGTCATCCTKCAGGCAGCCAGGTCAGACATGTCACGCTTCCCATCAGAGGAGAAATCCATCACCTGACACAGTTTATTATTTTTAGTGAAATCTGTTTTCATTTCACATGATAAGCAATAAACCTCGAGCAGAGATGGTTACAAGCAGAACTCAGATAATCTCCCCACTCTCTCCAGAAACCCTGCTGCATTTTCACTTAAAAAATCACTTTGAGTTTAAACAACTGTCAGAAACCTTTCACCAAATGGCTCAATAGGCTCCTGATAAGGTCTGGTTTTATTTATGATGGAGGAAAGGGTAGAATAAGGAAGGCAGCAAGGTCAGCTCATGAAGGAAATGCCCTGCATTGAGTGAAATTCTGTCTTCTTCAGACAGATTAGAACTGAACATGAGAGCATTTGTATCCCCTCAGCTTTGGGAGCTCATTTTCTCTGATGTGATTATTTTGAGGAATAGAAAAACTGCCCAAATCCTAAATGACCSATGTCTCAAAAAAAGTCATCAAACTCTTTTCTCTACTAAAAACCAGAAGGAGTTTGAGGAACAGTTATGCATTCAAGCAACACCTTTTCTRTAAACTTCTAGAAATTGTCATTTCTGTCTCTTGAAACAGCCACTGCACACAACATGGTGTAGAAAATACCTTAAAGCACACAGTGAAATTCTGTTTCCTGCCCCACAGATTCATTGGCATGAAATTCAAGGAAGTGAGATTTGAGGATTCATTATTTGAGGACTGCTACTTTGAAGATGTGAGATCCACTGAGACCTTCTTTGAAAACTGCACCATCATCTCCACTGTCTTTTATAACACAGGTAATGGGATTCCTGCCTAATGTCATCTCCATAACTGAGAACTATTTTATCAGAAAGTTCTTATTTCATAAGAACTATTTTATCTACTGTCTGGGAGAAAGGATGGTGTGTTTGTGTGTGTGCTGGGTGATGAGAGTGATGGAAAAAAAGAGGRTGATTTAGAAGACCCCAGGTTGCTCCATCACTGATTTTAACCCCGTGGCCTCTGGTGCCCCTGGGTGCTGTGTGGGAAATGCAAAATTCTGTGCTCAGGCCTTGACAGGTAAACGTAATGGCAAAATTGCTGGCACTTTACAGCTCTACTCAGTAAATTTGGCTTAAAATATAATTTGAAGCAACTAATGGYTGATGATCATAAGCAGTAAAATTGTCATTAATTTATGAAAGGGCTTTTCATTAATTGTCATTAATATATGAAATTTATGAAAAGGCTTTAAATTTCCACTCTAGTAAGGAATAAACCATAATGTTGTGGAAATCAAAGCCTGCCTTCCCCTGTCATTGTGGCAAGGGAATGCTCTCCAGTTGACTCCACAAACAGGAGTGTGTGAGCTCGCACCTATCAAGACTCCAAAAACTCGGATTTTGCCACTGAAATAAAAACTCCTTGGCCATTTCCACTGGATGAGAAGCTCCTTTTGGGTTCTTGGTTTGGTTAGATCCTGCATGAAGGGAGTTCAGCCAAGCAGGGTCAAGCCTTTGCCTCTTTCCCTCGCAGATCTCTACGAACACAAATTCATCAACTGCAGGCTCATCAACAGCACGTTCATGAAGGAGAAGGAAGGCTGCCACATCGACTTTGAGGAGGACAACGATTTCCTGATCTACCTGGTCAGCTTCCTGGGCAGCCTGTCCGTGCTGCCAGGCAACATCATCTCTGCATTGCTCATGGACAAAATYGGGAGGATAAAGATGATCGGTGAGTGGGGACGGTGGGTGATGGGGCAGGACATGGTGGGAGCACAGCAAATCCTGCATGGTTTTTTCCAGTGCTCAGCACATCAGGATCAGAGCTAAAAAATGACCTTTTGGTGCTGTTGAGTTGCTGCTGAAGTCCCAAATATCTGTGCAAATAAATGAACATTTTGCTTGTAGCAATGAATATTCACAGAGGTTATTTGATGTGGCAGCTCGACAGACAGCCCAGGAATTCCCTCTTTTGCTTTTTTTTCTGATTTGAAAATGATTGCACAAACAGTTTCAGAGACCATATGGTAAATTAACTGACCATGCCACAGCCAAGCAAGGTGCCACCCTTCAGCACCGTGGGAATAAGTTATCGAGTTATCACCTTGTCAGCTTTATGAATTTCTGAATTTCAGCTTTGGGAATTTCTGGTTTTGCTGCCTCTGGGGTTCAGACCTTGCTCTCCAGGTTCTTTAGGAGCCATGCTCTGAGGGACAGCCAGGGGAAGTTAATAAAATCAGGGAAGTTAATAAAATCAGGGATGTGGCTCAGGGGCAAGGGATAAATCRCTCCCTTGAGCTCACCCCTCACTCYTCTGAGAACTGAGCGAAGGTTTAGCTCAGCCTCACCTTCAGGGAGGTTAAAACAGAGCAAGATGACCCCACTGATGARGGGAAATGAGCATTCATGTGATGAATTTGGAAAAGACCCAAACAAACCAGAGGGTCTGTGCGAATGAATTAGRGGAAGCTGAACGAGAATCAGATTGTCCATCCTGCAAACATGTCATCATTTCAGCATTTTCATCTGGAATTGAGATGACAGCTGGAGCCCTGAATGCTTATTTCTCCTGCAAAATGAAGAGTGCAGGACAAAAATTAGTAACGACATGCTGAAACGTTTCACTGTGGAATTTCCAACTGAAAGAGCCTTCTGGCATCCCACCTGTATCACTYTGTTGAACATATTATTTCTGGTCAGCTTAGCAAGAAAACTGAATTTCTGCTTTGTGTTATGTKCCTCGCTGGGACTTCAGTTGGGTTTTATCACATCTGGCCAAACCTTGTCTTGTACAAAACAGCAGAACTTTTGGTGTTTTCWCAGTGCCCTAATGTTGGGCTGTGTTTCTGCAGTAAGGGGAACATCCACCCCATGCTGTGGGGATGTATTTTGGCCTCACATTGTGGAGGAAAAGTGGGCAAGGAGTCCTGCACTGCAGCTGTTCATAGGCGGTGGCAAGATGCAATGTAATGCCCAAAGTGAAGTGTTTTAGTTCCACTTCAGCATCCAAATTGTTTTGGATGGCGCCAAATTGACTCAAAAAACACCAAGYAACAGAGAAAATTGTTTGCTTTTCTGGTAATAATTGGAGGTGTTTCAGTGATAACAGAATATTCTGGTGAAAAATGGTTTGGTTTTTTTAAAAAAATTTCATCTTTCAGGTGAAAATTCCCAATGGGGTAGAAAGCAATGATGTAGCTATTAATATTTCTGAATCTGAAYGGTGCCTAACTGAGCATGAATGCTCTCACTTTCTCCCTCAGCGATGTTCATAAAAGTATGACTCCTGTGCAAATGTGCCATGAAATCTAATGATGTTCTTATAATTAAAAGAGACCTCAAGTGCTTCATACRAGTGGCTGTAAATTATCCTAATTGGGACTAGAAATGTGTCAAGTGACTTCAACACGATATGAAACGCACAAGCTTATCACTTGAAACTCAAGCTGAAAAACCTTCACAATGATGCTTCCTCCTCMTTGACTTTCATGTTTATTTGCCTCTGCTCTTCCTGGGTCCATCTGGAAGTCTGAGATGCTGGAATCCTGCCTGGAAAAGCCTGTTTCCACAGTTYTTGTAGAACAGGACCACCAGCAAGATCAGGTGGTCATTGAGAATGTTTCCAGACTGGTTTCCAGCATCAGAGAATGACAGACAGGCAGCATTGRGGTGTTTTAGGATCCTTGTAGATTTAATTGTTATTGGGATGAAATTCCATCGCTTGGAAGTGTTGTGGTTTGAATGAATTTAATGGGAGCAAAACACTCCCAAGTTCCAACAAACCTTCCCCCTTTCTCTCTTTTCCCCACCTGGGTCCTGGAGAAAAACTTTTCCACAGAGAGGAAAGTGAAAAGGGAAAAAAAACCTATTTATTTAAAATTATAAAAACAACAAAAAAAAAACCTGTGGAACCAGCTGTTAGATCTTAAAAGCCTTTCTCTTCCCTCCTGGGAGTAGCCACCCCTCCGGGGCCCCCAGAGGGGTGTTCAGAGTCTCTCCAGTGATTCACTGAAGGATCTTTCTCGCCTGTCATGCCACAGGAATCCTCCAATTCTCAGATGACGAAGAAAAAAAAATTTGAGGAAAAACACGTCCAAAGAAAGGGAGGAAAAAAAAAAAAAAAAAGGAGCAGTCCCAGAGAGCAGACAGCTTCTTTTCCGCCGCTGATCCCCAGAGCCTCCCAAAAAAAAAACAACTTGTGTGTCTTGTCCCTTTCCCTCCCATTATCCTTGAAGGGAAGAACATCACCAAACAAACCAGAGCAGTCTCAACTAATGTATAGTTACAGAAGGGTTGTTTAACTTTCCTCTAACATAAGCAGATGATAGGAATACAATACTCAGCTAACCTAGGACAGGAAGCCATCTTTATCAACAAATGAGTTTGTTCAGCTGTGATTGTAGACAGGGGGAAGCTGGTGCCAGTGTTTTTCTGTCGGTTTTTCCTCCACAGGAGGCTCCATGCTCATCTCAGCCGTGTGCTGCTTCTTCCTGTTCTTCGGCAACAGCGAGTCGGCGATGATCGGCTGGCAGTGCCTCTTCTGCGGGGCCAGCATCGCCGCCTGGAACGCCCTGGATGTCATCACCGTGGAGCTCTACCCCACGGACAAAAGGTGCTCACAATATTCCTCCTTTTAGTCTCCACCCTCTGACCTTRTCCTCTCGGTTCCCAATGGAAAAAGCCGCTCTAATGACGTGTAGGAAGCGGTATTTTWAAATTTGTTTTGTTTTCTCCAGTCCTTCAGGGCTGTGTAATCCTGGATCAGCACTGACATTTGCAAGGATAATTCTGCATGTGTGGAGAGTTGAACATAGGGATCGTGTGGATGTATGGAAATTTTGGGCTGATAAATCCAAGAATCACAGAATCATGATTTCACAGAATGGTTTGAGTTGGAAGRGACCTTAAGGATCATTTAGTTCCAAACCTTGTGCCAAAGGCAGGGGCACTAAATGAGATATCCATGTCATTTCCAWGGATGTGCATGGATATCTGGCCTTTCACACTGCATCCCCCAGCCTCCTGTCATGGCTCACCCCTGTGTCAGCCTTCCCCTCCAAAACCTGCAGACAATCCTGTGCACAGAATGATTTGGGAAGCATAGAAGATTTCAGGAAAATCTGCTGCAGATTAAAACTTTCTTTACAACATCATTATAAGCCCATTTTGCCTTTTTCAGATTTCTGGGGGAAGCCAGAAATGAAGGAGAAGGACTGKGCAGTGAAAGCAGTGTGCTTTTAGCTGCTGCGTGAAACAGGATTTGGAGGAGAGCTGTGGTTGCTTCTCTGGTGACAATCCACTCCAGGGCTTTGAGGAGGTCTAGAGCAGATTTTGTCCTGCTGGCTTTGGGGAGGGCAAAGGCTGGCAGAGTGAGCCATTCTAGGGCTCAGGAGAAGGCGAGATGAAAAGGAGAAATGRGCACACACAGACATTCTCCTCATTCACACAGACAAGCAAACCAGTTGCATCTGTTTATCTATTTATTTATTCTGCCCAGCTTTACTTGCTGGAAGCATAGCCTGGGCAGCACAAGAGCYTTCACAGAATTACCCACCCAAACCTTCTGTAGCTGTGCCAGAACCTAACCTTTGCTTTCTGCTTTTCCTCCCCGCAGGGCAACAGCCTTTGGCATCCTCAAYGGGCTCTGCAAGTTTGGAGCCATCCTGGGGAACTCCATCTTCTCCTCGTTCGTGGGGATAACCAAGGTGGTTCCCATCCTGCTGGCCTCCTCCGCTCTGGTGGGAGGTGGGCTGCTGGCTCTGCGCCTGCCAGAGACTCGAGAACAGGTCCTGATGTGAGCAGCAGAGCCCAGGGGGCTCGGGGAGGGGGCAGGTGGAGAAGAAGAACAAAAAAAGAGCCACGTTTGGAAAACCCAAAACGTCCATTCTGCGCTGTTCTGTCGGTACCTCACAGCGAGACGGCGGAGGGAGAGAAGAGCACGAAGGGATTTGAACAAAACCATCGTTTCTGACGTTTTCACCGCCACCACCGGTGCATGCAGCCCCCACACAGCCCTTGCAGAGCCCTCCTGTCCCTGTCCACCCCACTGCAAGGACACCAGAGGCAAAAGCAGCTCTGTGACAATGGGGGTGACACCAGGGGACAGACCCTTCCCCTCCTGCCCCTGCTGAGCTGTGACACCACTCCTCGGGCACCCACAGATGCTCAGACACAYCCGGGGGAGGCAGGGAACAAACCCACCCCAGGAGTTGCAGATGTGGCCCCAGTTGTGCTGATTTTGGGATTACCACTCCCAGAGTCCTGATTTCTGGGGGATGTGAGGGTGGGTGCTCAGCTCTCTCAGAAGACTCGGGGCTTCAAAGCCCTTTACTTGGGCACAGGGAATCACTAGGCACCTTCTTGGTCTTGAAGAGAAATAGCTAAATAATTATRTATATGTGTATTTACACCTACTTGCAAACGTGCATACACCCTTTGGAGTGATCTGCAGTTAAAATTTAGGATTTTTAATTTCTGCACCCTTTAAGAGTGGCACTAAAAACAAATCCCAGTAATTCAAGATTATCAGGAGTCATGACCAGCTTAGTGAYGCTTCATTCTTAACATCCAGATACCAAATATTTAAATGTATTAGTGGCTGGGAAAATATATTTCTGTAATGATTAGGAGGGTCTTTTTCCTACAGCTTTCACAGAGGAGAAATYGATATGATATTGGAGCATTCCACAAACCAAATGTGTACATATTATCCAGTGTAAATAGGGGATTTTTGCCTAATACCTAGAATACAGTAACTGTGAATTTACCAGCATTTTAGCCATATTATTTGAAGAATATGATGCTTGATTTTCTAATATACTTGGGTCTCATTGAAGCACTGTAAGCACAGTTACTTAAAGCCATTTAACTTGTTACACAGGGAATGCACACAGCAAGCTTTCACTGTACAGAACATTAAATTTTCCATTAAGTGGCACAGTTTAGTTTGATATCCTGTGGAGAACATTTCTGAAATTCGTGTGCCCTTTTTATCACACGAGTTAAGTCCTGTGGCACCTAGAGGTAAAGTGAGTTGTSCATTTTGGGCTGTGTTTTCTTGGGAAATAAGAATGAAAATAAGAATGAAAATAATCCTGTTCAATAATAACACACCAATGCTCACAATGGGTGAGATAACACTAATTATATCCTTTCAACAAGCTCAGCAATAGACCAGAATTGATCTGAAACCACCACACAGCGCAGGGAATTTGTCAAACCAGGATATTTTGTGACATRAAAATTTCCTTTGTACTTTTGCTGATGATTTTCTCATTTACCTTTTGTTGAATCTTCTTTGGTTAGCTTGTTTTTTTTTCTTTTTTTGGTGTTTTGTTGCTTTTTTTTTAAAGAAAACCAAGCAAGGTTAGGCTGAAATCCTGCAGGACACACAATGGGGTTAGATCACAAACAGCAAATCCTTGCCAAGGAGGAAAAAGCCTCTAATGAGCATCACTTTCACCATTGTGTCAATCAGGGATAAACACKTATGGATCAGCTAGGCTACAACGGGCTTTTTGGGATTTTTGACCTTTATTCTGAGAGTTATGAAATTGATAAAATCACAAGYTGCTGTAATAACTGAGCTCATTATGCCTCATTTCATCATTTTATGGGTAGCTTAGGGCTTTTTAAAATTCATTTTATTTATTTGTCTTCCAAACAGCAAGGTTCCTTCTCTAAGGTAGGAGTGAATGTAATTATATYCTTTGGCAGCAGTTCTTAGCTTCTATTTAGAATCACAGCCCAGAATGTGGGTTTTTTCCTCTAAGAATATCTGGTCCTTTTGCATGATGAGAAACATTTTWAATATGTATTTTAACACAAAAGATCACCATGGCCTTTAGGTTTCATGCATTTTGTTGGGCTGTGCTTGCAAATTACCACATTGCACCTGGGCAGGGGGACAAAATTTTGTTTCATTTTCTGGGCTATTCACTTCTGCTGYTCTGAGGAGCCAGAACCTATTTATTTCAATATTTGTTTTGCATAGCATTCTTATTTACTTATCACCCAATGCTCACAGCAAAACTGACTATTTGTGCTCTCCRCTGACATTTTGCAGTGACATTAATGACATCACTTGCTTTGCAAAACTTCCCTGTTAATTTTCAGAGAAGGAAGAAACTGAAGTCTCCAGAACATAGAAATGGCAAGGTAATATTAGGAAATATTATCCAGTCTTAGAAACCTTCCTTCCTTCCAGAACATCTCTTTCACAGGCTGCTAACCCTCAACTCACAGAATAGCTGGGACAAGGTAAAGAGCAATAGGATCTTGTTGTCAGTGAGAGATGGAAATGGAAATGGAAATGGAAATGGAAATGGAAATGGAAATGGAAATGGAAATGGAAATGGAAATGGAAATGGAAATGGAAACGGAAATGGAAATGCTTTGCACCCCTAAAATCCATGCGTCAGTCCGTTGAGGGCTAAGGGATGTTGCAGATTTTGGGATAAGGCTCCTACCCCTGGCTTGACCAGGGAATTTGTGACCTGAGAGAACAAACAACACCAGAGCTGGTCCATGAGAGCCTGGGATAAAGGACAACACTGAGAGAGAAGGAAGAAAGGAAAAGCAGAGGAGAACTCGCATCACCCAGCTGAGACACCCAGGACTGGACTGAAGGGATTGCCATCATTCTCAGGTGAAAGGCAAAGGCAGTGCACGACTCTGCTTAGCTGGAGATGACTTGCCCTGGATGCTCTGCCTCTACAGGAGCAGAGGGACCCAGGGCAGCAGCTGCAGCTCAGGCATTGCCTTTGTGCCCCTGGACTGGCATTTCCCACCCTGCTCTGTGCCACCAGGCTCAGCCACCATCCCCGATGTGTTTGAGCTGTCCTTGCCAGGGTGTAAATCAGTGTAGGTGTCACTCTGCTGCTCTCAGAGCACAGCTGGGGTTGCAGACCCTCTGAATTTGGGCTCAGTTTCAAGCCTTGGCCRCCTGCTATGCTGAGCCTTGAGCCCCAAGCAGGGGAAGATTTTTCCTCATGCCCTTCTGATGGCTCAGCCTRATTTCTGCTGCACAATCAGCATTGCCCCCGCTGTGCAAGGGCCAGCACTTCTCCATCATCTCCCCTGCCCACGCCTGCCACAGTGAACATCCTCTCTCTTGGATTCACTGCACCATCCACGGAGAAATCTGCTGACCACGGGCCTCTGATGATCTCTGCACAGTGATATTTCCACGGATTCGTGAGCTTTACTGCAACAGGGATGCAGAGCACCAAGACAGGGGGCTTGCCTTAAATCCCAAAGATCTCTTCAAGAGGACAGCTGGATCTCCTCAAGCATGCATGGCACTTACCAGGGGCAGTGTGGAGTGGGGAAGGTGAGTTTGGGGAGCCCAGAGTGGCCAGCTGGGACTTTGTGTCTTCAGCTCTACAGGAGACCATTGCTGAATTTCTGAGCATGCAGACACAGACAGAGASCTTTACAGGAGCACCAAGCACTGTTAATATTATTAAAGAGCARTGGTATTACAATAAGACTTCTGCTTCCTTGTATTCCCTGTTGATTTAACAGGTTGTTGTATTGTGATTTATTTTCTCCAGTTGTGCAGGACAGCTCCTGCTCCTGCCTTTGGCTCCGCTGTGCCCTGTGCTGGTGGCTGCAGCTTGTGCTGGGTGGGGTGATCCTCTCCTTGCCCATGTGAACATCACTCTTTGAAATTCCTTGAAATGCTGTGGGACTTACAGATGGTGGTGAATGGATCTTTTGGACCRTGAAGAGGGTCAGTCTTGGCAAACCCACACCCAATGCCAGATGTTCTGCACACTRGGGAGTGCTCAGCCATCCTGATGTCCTTCAGTGATGCTGGAGAGGCACTGAGGGATGTTCCCTGAGTCTGGGCGTGGTCCAGCCCCAAGACTGGGCTAACACAAGGGCACAGAGCAGGACTGCATGGAGCTGAGCTTTCTGCAGATGTCCAGGTCCCTTCCAGATCCTGCTTTGAGACCTCCAACAGCAGAATATACTCTGATGCTCTGAAGGAGGCCCGAGGTCCATTTATAGTCCCTGCTTTTGTCCTTTGACTTCCCAAAGGACACAAAAAACCTGAGAGGATATTTTTAGGTTTATGTAGATTGGAGCCCTATTAATTTTATTTTTCATTAAGTTTCTCCCTCAGTTTCTCACTGTTGTATTAGCAAATGCTGCTTTTAGGAAGAATCRAGCCTGGGAACTGTGAAGGAAACAAAATGAAATAAATTTCTTTGCTGTATGTGATGCTAGTGCTGTATAAATGTACACACACTGCAAGTCCCACTGTAAATAACACCCAGTGTCGTGCTTTAATGGAAAGTTTCATTTAGAAGTTCTGTCAACTCTGTGTGTGAAATAGCCAATTCCAGTCCCTTGGTTCCTTTTCTTCATTTAAAACCTCCTTTTATTTTTTTTTTTTTATTTGATCTGTGTCTGGTCGTCACTGGAAATTGCAGCTGTTCCAATGGACTTTATTTTTGTTCTCTCTGTCACATTAAACGGCTGGAAGAAAAAGAACGGCTCTTGTAGTGTTTGTGTTTAATGTATATTTTGAGCCTTTTTACAGGGGCTGTGCTGGGTAACTTTGTACCCTGACACTGTGGGGGCTTTCTCTGATGTTTGCTGCTTCCTCATCCTTCCTCTCTCAAACRATCCCAACTCAATTAAGTCTCCTTTCTACCACAATCCTTTCACACCCTGGATTTCCAAACAYAGGACTTGAGAAAATCCTTACCCTGAAAAATTTTCTGGTAGGAGGAAGAATGAAACATCCTTAAATGCTGTGCAACAYYAAAAAGCCAAAATCTGCTTYGTAAMAAGAAGCACTGCTTTTGAGGCTTGSCACACCATTTGACCACAGCACACTCCCTTATTGGATGTATTTCTAAGGATGTGAGCTCTTTCTTTTTATTTGCAGCTCTTTGTGTGTATCTAACTGTCCAGGCCATGTTTTCAGAGCAGTGGTACAGACAGCAGCAACTGTCTGGGAAAAGAGCTCATGGCACAAGGAGAGTGGRGTTGTGCATGGATTTCTTTATGCATAACACAAAATTCAGTGATCCTGCTTCTCCTAGACCCACTGAAAGCTTTTGATTTGAATCAGCTCTGGCTTGTTAAGAAATTTAAATGCTGGAAAGTTATTGGGTAAATGAGTGATTAGTCCTCTCATCACGTCCACTGCAACATGCTCAAGGTAATATTCMAGTGAAAGATAAAGAGCCAGAGAGACTGGAAATGTAATAAAGAAACTGTGAAGGTTCTTTTGCATCAGCAGGAGACTAAATCAGCATTTTCCCTCAGCTCAGGTTCAGCAGCAGCCTTGGACTGGGAAGGGCTGGGCTCAGGTGGGAATTGGGAAGGGCTGGKCTCAGGTGGGAGYTGCCAGCTGTGAATTTTGCAATTTTCATGTCCCACTCAGAATGCAGAGCTTTGGAGCCAGCATTCTGTGAGCCCCTCCTGTGTGTTCTGCCCGTAGGAAAACGTGCATCAGCAAACACCATCAGAAAGCATTTTCTACAAAGCGAGTTTTTAGATAAAGGTCAGAGATTTGCACRGAAAGCCTCGGAGGTGATTTCGAGTTGTCCTGACTCCAGGCTAGTTGACATTCTGCACAAGGCTGAAATCTCAGGAAGCAGAAAAATCCCATATTTGAATRTTCAGACAAGGTTGCTGATAAAAACAGTGCATAAAAAAAACCCGACTAATTTTAAATTAGGTCAGGGAATTTAAAAGCAGGATTATGTGACAGAGCTGCCTGAGATTGCATAGGATGGACTGGTTGGTAAGAAAACCTTTGCAAATCTGTGTTCCTGCTTTTCCATATCGATGTTTCTGCCCTGACCATCTTGATTTCATTATGTGGATTTTCTGGCACAGATTCTCATAACTGCTAATAAATGACCCAGATTCCCTGGATGTGCAGGTTYATCCAAGCTGTCACAGAAGGTTACCTGGTGGAGGAGGAAGGCTGGGGATGATGGCATTCAGAGCAGCCACAAAATCCAGGAATCGGTCTGAGTGATGCTTCTGAATTGTGAAGTGACTTCATAKCAGGAATATTATTTGAATTAGGTTATGGTAAGATGGCAAATCATTTYACCAGGGCTGCTGTATCTCAGATCCTGGTTTTGGGACTCTTAAAGCAGAGATCAAACTTGGCAATTTGAGTTGACATTTGTTGGAAAAACAAGGAAATAACAACAAGTCGGCCAGGCCTTTGTGGATGGGAAATAGAGCCCTGTTTTTCCAGGYTGGGGCAGAAATTTATGTGTACTGAAGGCACAAACACTGGTATGATTCTGGGGCTGATATTGAGTCTGTCCTTCTCAGACAAGTTTTTTGTAAGATGATTACAAACCAGAAAAAAAAAAAAACCTATCAAAAGAAGATTTTTCTTACCATTCTCAGTGAACAAGGAGAATTACTGAAGAACATTCAGCCACCTTGGCCCATGATAATGCAAAGAATTAGGCAATTATATATAATTTTTAACATTTGAAGTGTACATAGTYATTACTGTAATAACCCATGAAGTACTATTCGAAAAAGCTAAAAATCAGATTTATATTTATTGTTGAGCACTTGATTCACCTGTAAAATATGAGTGTTTATATACATAACGCACATATATGTACACACATTAATTTATACGTAAAACTAAACGATCACGCTCGACCTCACTGATGATGCCCGAGTTTTTTKGGGATTGAAATGCCAGGAGATGGCAGCAGTTACCCACAATATTGACTGGTCCCAGCTCGTCAAAAAACTGCACCCAGGACCCTCATCAGACACAGAAAAGGTGCCACAGCAGCACCATCAGATACAGCTCACCGGGCTCTGAACCCCAGAGATGTCAGCCAAAAGGGGGTAAAGAAAAGAGCAATGRTTAGGAAATTTAGGGAGCCAACAGCCCTGACTAATGCCAAAGATTTTTGAATGGRAGTTGTGCAAACCTCAAGCAAAGCGAATGTAATTATGGGGGRGAAAATAAGAATTTCTGCTTCAGTRGGCCGGTGCAATGGTTTTCCAGCTTTCTCAGCCTGCACATCCTGAGTGTTTTCAGGGGAGATGTAGATTCCTTGTTATWATATGGCACCGGTGTTTCCAAGTGCCGTTTTTTTTTATCACCTCAAAGCCACCCGAGGCCACAAATCCTGGATGATTTTTGTCCCCATCCTGCTGGGAATTAACCAACAAACACCAAGATTGCAGCTGTCCTGCCCACAGCTTCCAGAACCCACAGAGCCCAGCCTGAGGCTGTGATYCTGTTAGGAAGGGCTTTACCCCAGCTTTAGGAGCTTGCTCCTAAGGATACAGCTGCAGTCCACTACRGATTTTACACTGATGATTTCTCTCTCCAAGAAGTTTGGAATTCCCTGCAAAGCTTTTTCTTTGCTAKAGAAAATAAATAAAAGAGCTATTCAGTGAATACAAACAGAGCTAATTATTAGGAGAAAAAGCCAGAGCTCAAGTGGCTTCATTCCTCATTTTTGTTACTCTGGCAAAGCAAAGACACTGCTCAGAGGATGCAACTTCCAGGGCTGCAGCTGTGGAGTGCCATGGGCAGGACAGGAGCAGGATCCACTCCAGTCCTGGGGTTTCAGAAGATGTAAGATTTCTCCAGAGGGAGCCCTTTCTTAGCCTTGAAATTTCCTGCTTCAGAGTGGGAAAAGAATATTATTGTACTCGGCCCTTCAAAATACATCTTKGAGTGATAAACTCAGCTCTTTTATCCTTTCTTATTTAGGATAAGGATAAGAGCTTTGAAATCTTCCCAGGAGCACTGTCCCTTCCCTTAGACCCCTGAACAACAAACTGCTCTGCAGAAAGCAGCCTCTTCCCGAGCCCTTAGTCCTATAAATATTTCAGAATAACTATTTACAGCCCTCTTTTGACCCCATCCAAAGAGTCCATAACGAGTTCACAGCCTCGGCTCAGCCCAGCTCTGGGACCCTGCTGGGTGACTTTGTCCCCTCTCACATCCCACCTGGCAGAGGACAGAAATAATGTCACCTTTGTGTCTAGTTGTGTGGGGCCACCCCTACATTAGGGGCTCAAGATTTTCTGAGGTTTTGGGTTTGGGATGCCAGATATTATTCAGGCTCCTGACACTCTGTTACTTTGCTGATATTTATTTCTGGTTTTGCAGAATGTCTTTAGTCCAGGTCAGTTAAAGCAGATTTTTCCTGTAAATGTTGCACATTTAACTCTAAATAACTGGTTTCCCTGTCTCCTCAGGCCAAGGTTCAGTATAAAATTTGTGGGAAGRAATGCTGGTTAGAGAGAAAAAAGGAAGAGTTCAAGGCTGAAGTGTAACCCTAAATCATGAATATGATTATTGCAACCTTCCCATGTCCACTGAGGGTGAAATATTGCCTTGATAGGCAATAGAGATAGGATTTCATTAAGAGAAGGAAATCCAGCTGGGAAAATTAAGTAGGGAAATGTTAAAATCCAACCAAAGAAAATGCCGAAATTCAAACCCAAACCATTTTCTGCCCATTACCTCATCTTAAATCAGAGCTCCATCCAGCCCTCTCCCAGTWCCACACAGGTCATGGTGCAAAGGCAGAGGGCTCAGCCCCGATCTCTGCTGTCTATGCAAGCCCCAGGCTCGTGGAGGTGTGGGTGGCAGCTTCTCTGAATGAAAATTAGGGTGGTGGTGTGGCTCACTGGAAAGCTGACAGTTCCTTCTCGCTTCAGAAGATGAACTAGATCTYTGAGGTGTCTCACAGCACAGTAAAATCTGGGAAAATCACCTTCTGTCTCCTCTTCTCTGCTTTTTTTTTTTTCCCTCTTCAGGTATGACTTCCCCAAGTATCCTCCCTTGATTGATGTAGTTGGAATCTGGTGACGTGATGAAAATGAAATGCTGATTTTTAGGCAAGATTATGTAAATCAAATATGTTCGGTCACTGATGCCCCGGGAATTCCCTTATCAGCAACACAATCATTGGGAATTAATTCCTCCAGCCTGTGAGATAATGGCAGGGAAGGAATGAGGGTTGAGTTAATCCCAGGCACAGCTCAGCCAGGGTTTCCTCATACATGACAAGGAATGAGCTCAAGGTGAGATGTTTGTACCACAGAGATTTCCAGTGCAGTGACCCTGCTCTCCTGTAAGACTGCACAAAGCATTAAAGCCAATGTGGAGAACAATCCAGAAATTTCTGTTTGTCACATAGAGATCCTGGACAAGTTAGATGTCTGCTCTTGAGCTGATTTAGGGAKAAAGCACTACAGTTTTCTGTCCTGAGCTGCTCAGGGGTCATAACCCTTGTGTTCCCCTTTCAGTCTGTAACAAGAACCTGCTGCTTGGCATTACATTTATGGGTAAACTCCTTGGGTGGTGCCCTAATTAATTTTATTTCAAAATGAGACRTGGGGATAACGCTGCCTACTCATATTATGTCCTTGCAACCTTCTTACTGCCAATCTTTGCAAGCACAACTCACRAGTGACTACTTTGTTCTCCTCTGGGCATGATTTAGCTTTATTTATTGACACTG